CTACTGGACATCCTGACACTAGACAAGCACCATGGAGGGTCCTCGGGCCTTGAAGCCGCATCACAGCCTCCATCTCAAGCAAGACTCCACCCCACCCTCCCTCAGCCGGAGCCCAGGACCCTCAGGCAGCACCCCTGGGCCCCCCACCCCCTCACCACCAGAGGCCGCAAACTCAACCCAGGTCTCAGCACCCACGCCTGCAGGCCCCACACCGTCCACGGGGCACTCTCCCGGGGGCCTCGATGGGGATGGAGAGCAGGTCAGGCTGGGGGCAGCTGGTGCTCCGGGCTCCCCTGGCCCTCACGTGGTTACACACGTGTGCCCGAGACGACGGGCCGTAGTTTGGGGAGATCCTAGCAGGGAGCTCAGAGCTGCTTCTGACAGTGGCTTGACCCCTGGCATCTGGGGTGGCCAGCTGGCGCCCCACGGGCCCACCCCGCTCCCTGCAGGGGTCAGAGCGCGCTGGAGAGCCGCGGGGCTGTGGGAAACTTTTCCACGGCATCGCCATCATCGCCAGCGAGGAGGGTGGCGGTGTCCGGGCTCCCATCCCAGCCAGCACGTCATGAGGCCGGAGCCGCCAGGCATAGCTGTGTGGTGAGTCACCGGCTGTTTACAGAGCAAGAGCTCACATTCCCACAGACCCGGCCCCACCCCGAAGGGAAATGGAAGGCCGGCCAAGGACCTGCCTGGAGCAGACCCCGGCCCGACCCCACGGGGCCCTGTGTCCAGAGCCAGCTCGGCCAGGGCGGGCGCAGGGCAGAGTCCGGGGCAGGGACCTCCCCGGGTGCCCACCTGCCCACCACGGGATCCGTGCTGGGACTCGGGGACGGAACCAGGAGGCACACAGGAGGGCCTCAGCCCCCCCCCTGCAAGCAGGCCCAGGAGGCTCAGTCTCCCCCACACCCACCAGGTCAAGGAGCCTCAGCAGGGACAGGCGCGTGGCTCGGGTCCCCCCACCTGGGGCCTGGCCTCGGCTCCTGTCTTTAGTTCGCAGACCTTCTGTTCAAGGAGAACAGCAGGACCGAGAGAGCGCGGTGGGTGGTCACCGAGCTGAGGAGCAGCACAGGAACCCTCTCCTCTGGGGGTCCCCATCTCCTTCTGGAAACGAGGGGCCCCAGGGTCCTGTCCCAAAGGCCTCCGCTGGGCAAGGCCCCACCTGGGCTCTGCCCTCTGCCCCCAGCGCTTCCGGCTGCACCCGGACTGAGGAGCCAGGGGTCCAGGGGGGACTGGGAGCCCCGCAGCAGCAGGCACGCCCACTGCCTCAGGCGCCTGCTCCCATCCACTGGGTCTTCCCCAGCCGGGGGAGGTCTCGGCGCCCCAGCCCCAGCGTCAGGCCTGCCTGTACCCAAACACCACCGGGACCCAGCGCTGACCCGGCACGCCCACGTGAGGAAGGTGCGAGTGGAAGGAGGTTTGGAGAACAGCCTGTGACACAACTGCCTTTACACGTCTACACAGGTGTCTGTGACGCTGAGCGGGCCCCAGCGGCAGCAAGAACCGTCCAGACGCGGGCACCCCGCGGGGAGACTGCAGCCTCGGGCAGCCTGGCACCGGCGGAGCCCGCGGCCCCCCGACCACGGCCTGACGCCGGGTCCCCGCATCCGCACTGGTCGCACCAGACACCAGACACGCCGCCCTCACAGCTTCCGGCGGGCGCTCCAGGCCCAGCCCTCGAGGAAAAGAACTCAAACCCAGATCCCAGGGCCAGGCGGGCCTGCGGACCGAGCACCCCCTGAGGGACAGTCACAGGCTCACCTCCCACCCCCACGAGGCCGCCGTCCGAGTGTGCTGTCAGCACCTGTCACTCGGAACTGTTTACTGTTCTAACTCAGGACGTGGTTCTCAACCCAAAGCCAGAAACCTCCCCCTGAGGCACATCTGACAAGGACAGGAAAGCTCTCTTCCTCCGAAGGAGGGAACCAGCTCTGAGTGAAGGAGGGACCAGCGTCCCTCCCCTTCCAGCCCCAGAACAGGGCAGGGCGGCTTCACCGAGCGGCCGGATTCCGTCCCGGGCGCCGGGCACCGGGCTGGGCTGGGCAGCGAGCGCAGTCCCACAGCCAAGCACTGTCCTCCTGGTGGGCAGGAGGCAGGGGCGCTGAGGCCAGGGTGTGGGACCCTCGGTCACTTTTCTCTCCAACTCCCAGCAAACCCCGGCTGCTGGCCATTGCCTCCTTCCCTCGGCTCCCGGGCTGTGGACCTTCACGTGCACTGGCTGCTCTGGGCTGGACCCAGGTTCGGGGCCATCAGGGAAGGCCGCTGGGGGCAGTGACCGCACCCACGCAGCCCTGGGCTCAGCCAGCCAGGCAGAAAAGGCGGCGTAGACCTTGGAAGGGGCTAATTCTTACCCAGATGAACTAGCCCCCAGCCTGGGGTGAGCCTCGGGCGGGCGGGAAGCCGAATCTGGGCTCAGCATCGATGGGCTCAGCATGGGGGGCTCTCAACACTTCCCGTCAGGTGGAGTGAAGGGGCGCTGGGCGCTGCCCGTCAGCCCTCCCAGCCAACCTGATGAAGATGCGCCTCCACTCTGTTCTCCTGGCTGGGGGGGGGTGGGCAGCAGGGAGACAGGGAGGGAGGAAGGGGGTTCCTTGCTAGGGGAGCAGCCCCGACCCCAGGCAGCAGAGCAGCAGCTGACTCACCCGACCACCCTGAGGTGGCCACCTCTGCCCTAGGGGACCGGGACCCTCTCACAAGTGGCCCAATGCCGCACACCCCTCCCACCACAGACGGCACCGCACGCCCCTCCCACTACAGACGGCACCGCACGCCCATGTCACCCAACTGCAGACAGCGCCCAGAGCCAGGAGGGCTCCCCACTGTCCCGGCCACTTGGACGCCAGGCACTGATGTCCTGAGCCAGCTCCCCTCAGTGTGGGGTGCGTTCCAGAGCCTTGCTGGGCACCCCACCAGCCCGGCCCACACCCAGCTTGCAGGCTGGCCCTGGCCGGCTGCCCTCCAGCAAGGCATGACTGTCTCCGGGGCTGGGAGGACGTCTGGTCACCTTGCCTTTGCAGTTCGGGGAAGCTGTGTCATCCTGGCTGCTCTAGGGGTGACTAAGGCAGCTCCAGCTGATGCAGGCGGAACGCCACACCCGGCCAGCCGTGCCGGGGACCCTGGCTCTCCTCACGCAGCTTCCGCCCGGCTGCTCCCCCACAGCTCTGCGTGGTCCTCCGGCCCCCTGCGGCTCTGTCCTCCCCTAGCCCCTCCTAGCTGCCCAGGCATGGCCCCCGGGAAAACGGAGGCCCACAGGCCCAGCAGGCCCCGCCCTGCGCCTGCAGCTCAGGTGACAACCCCACCACATTTTCACCCAGAAATCGTCCACAGGGCCTCCCCTCTCCACTCGGAAACCCTGGCCTGCGCTTCAGCCTGTCTCCCTGCTCTGGCCTGGCAGCTCTGGCCCAGCTTCCCTGTCTGGACCCTGACCTCAGTCCCGCAAGTGCAGCCCCCCAGCCAGGCAGAGGGCTGCCATCCTCGCTCAGCATCCTTCCACCGCCCCGGCCACCTGCTGCAGACCAGGCCTCCACCTCTGGCTTCTTGAGAGGCCCCCACAATCTGCACTGGCTCCCAACTTCTCCCCTGCCCTCCCTGGAGTAGGTGGGCGCCCTCTCCCTGAGCACACATACTGGCTGCACCCAAGGCCTGCCCCCACTCACACCACACCTGCCCACCCACCTGGAAGACGGGGTTTGCTGCATAAGCAGGTGTGTCAGCACTGCACTGAGGGAGGGGCCTGGAGGGCGGCTTCCGCCCATACGGCTCCGGCTCCGCACCCCCTGCCCGGCACCCAGACAGGCCGAGCAGGAGAGCAGGCAGGCGCCGGGCCAGGCCAGGGCACCAGGCTGGGCTCCATCTAAGACAAGGTGAGTGTGTGTGCTTGTGCATGACTGTGTATGAATGTGCATGTGTGTGTACATTAGTGACTGTGTGAGTGTGTAACTATGTGCGTGACTGTGTATGAGTGTGCGTATGTGTGACTGTGCATATGTTAGTGACTGTGTGTGTGAGTGTATGACTGTGTGAAAGTGTAACTCTATGTGTGTGACTGTGTGAGTGTGTACATTAGTGACTGTGTGTGTGTGTGACTATGTGTGAGTGTGTGAATGTGTAATTGTGTGTGTGACTGTGTGTATATTAGTGACTGTGTGTGTGTGTGACTGTGTATGACTGTCAATGTGTAACTGTGTGTGAGTGACTGTGTATGAGTGTGTATATTAGTGACTGTGTGAGTGTGTGTGAGTGACTGTGTGTGTATGACTGAGTGTGTGTGTGAATGTGTGTGTGACTGTGTATGAGTGTGTATATTAGTGACTGTGTGAGTGTGTGAGTGACTGTGAGTATGACTGAGAGTGTGTGTGTGAATGTGTGTGTGAGTGACTGTGTGTGAATGACTGAGAGTGTGTGTGTGTGTGACTGTGTATGAGTGTGTATATTAGTGACTGTGTGAGTGTGTGTGTGTGACTGTGTGTGTATGACTGAGAGTGTGTGTGAATGTGTGTGTGTGAGTGACTGTGTGTGGTGGTCACTGTGTGATCTGAGGGTCATCCCTACCTGCCCTAAAATTCTAGTTCTAAGCTGGCACTTGCGACTTCCTGACACTGTGAGAAAGAGGAAGCATGACGAGCGTGTG